CCTCCTGCTGGGCACCGAGAGGCTCTCCCGCCGGAGCCTGACCTCTGTGCCGGCGGCCTCGCCCCGGCCCCGGCCAGCCAGGCAGGAAAGCCTGAGGCCGTCTCCCAGGGCTCCGGGCGGCGCCAGGCCCGAAACCCACTTCCGCCAGGCCTGGCGGCTCCCGGCGACGCCGCCGCCCGGAGCCGAGACTCAGTCCGAGGAACCTGCCCGAGGAGCCAGGGCTGGAGTTCACACCTCAGTACCAGGGACAGGGTGAAACACGTGTGCAAAGCTGTCTTTACATACCGTCAGCGTCTCGGGGCCTGAATTTGGGCTTGGGCACCACCATGTACCTTTTCTACTCAGCTCAAGGCTGTGCTCTACCACTTGAGCCACAGCGCCACTTCTTTTTGGTGATTAATTGGAAATAGTCTGATCACCAAGCAGGGTACTGGTGGCTCAGGAGGCTGAGACCTGAGGATCGGGGTTTGAAGCCAGCCCAGGCTTAGAAAAGTCTGCAAGACTTTTCTTTTTTGTGGGGTGGGGGGTCCAGTTATGGGACTTGAACTCCCTACCTGGGTGCTGTCCCTGAGCTTTTCCACTCAAGGCTAATGCTCTACCAACTTTGAACCACTGTGACACTTCCAGTTTTCTGGTGTTTGATTGGAGATAAGAGTTTCATGGACTTTCTTGCATGAGCTGACTTCAAACCATGATCCTCAGATCTCAGCCTCCGGTGTAGCTAGGATTACAGGTGTGAGACTCTCATCTCCAATAAACTACTCAGAAAAGGCCAGGAGTGGCGCTGAGGCAGTAGAGAGCTGGCTGTGAGCACAAAGAAGCTCAGGGGCAGTGCCCAGGCCCTGAGTAGTCCAAGCCCCAGAACTGGCCAAAAAAAAAAAGTCTGATTGCCACCAACTTTGCTGCCTTGGCTGGCTTTGAATCATGATTCTCAGATCTCAGCCTTCTGAGTAGCTAGGATTACAAGTGAGTCACCAGCACCCAGCTTTTTACTTTTTTTTTTTTTCCGGTACTACAGCTTAAACCCAAGGCCTTGTGCTTTCACTTGGTGGCTCATGGCTGGCATGCTACCATTTGAGCCATGACTTCAGCCTATTTTTTTTTTGTTGGTTGAGACGGTCTCTTCCACTTTTCCCTACACTGCATAGCCTGACACTTCCAACAGTGATGAGCTAGTTTATTCCTTTAGTATCACAGTATCTGAGCCAGTAGCTTCCCCCATATCTGTCTGCCAGTGGCTCTGGGGAGAAACGACCCAATGGTCACTTAGAGCCCCATAGTGGGACTCAGTCGCAGCAAAGAAGGACAGCGACTGGAAGCTTCTGTTTACTCTTTGTCAGGCAGGTAGGCTGCTATTGTACTGGGGTTCCTGTGTCGGCGGTAGGGGCCCCATTCAGCCTGTTCCCGGATGGTCCTCTGCTCCTCACTTCCAGTGGAACTGTAGCTGACTATACTCTCCTTTGAGGCCCGAGTGATGACGATCTGTGGAGTGATGGTGTTTTTCCTGCTCGACTGTTTTACATCAGGTTTCTCTAGAGGGAAAAAAAGACCCAGGCATTTAGCGGGTGTGAGGGAACGTCTTCAACAACACACACAAGGCCTGACTTAGGTACAAGTTAAGGAATCAGATTTGTAGTTAGGAAAAAATACCACATAAATCTCCCAAAGCTCAAATAAATTCACCACTGCTATATACAGTAAATACTAATACCTCTTTTTTGTGCTTTTTTTTATTGTTACTATAAAGGTGATATACAAATGGGTTATAGTTACAAAAGTCAGGAAATGAATGCATTTCTTTTTGGATAATGTTACCCCTTCCCTGACTTAGTTTTTCCCTCCTCTTCCTGCATACCCTCTTCAAGAAAGAAAACAGGAGGGGCTGGGATGTGGCTTAGTGGTACAGGGCTTGCCTAGCATTTATGATGTCCTGAGTTCTATTCCGCAATACCACATACACAGAAAAGGCCAGAAGTGGTGCTTTGGCTCAAGTGGTAGAGCTTGAGCAAAAGCAGCTCAGGGGCAGTGCTCAAGCCCTGAGTTCAAGCCCTAGGACTGGAAAAAAGAAGAAAAAAAGAATCAGGAAAGATTCTTTAGATTTTATGAGCTACAGAGGACCTGCAGGATGACAGACACAGGAAGGAGAGCAGGCGAGAAAGGCGTGTCTGCTCGAATGGCCAAGTGCCAAAGGGTTCTAACTGGTAAATCCTCTGTGCAGAACTTGATTAACAGAAGGCACTAGAAATGGGCACTTCTAATATTGCTAAGGTTACAGGGAATACATACCTGTTGTAAAGCTGTTGAGCTTCAGGTTTTAAAAGTAGACAGGCAGAGCCGGGGACCGGTGGCTCACGCCTGTAATCCTAGCTACTCAGGGGGCTGAGATCTGAGGATCACGGTTCAGAGCCAGCCCAGGCAGGAAAGTCTATGAGACTCTTATCTCGAATAAACCACCAGAAAACCAGAAGTGGTGCTGTGGCTCAAGTGGTAGAGTACTAGCTTTGAGCTGTAGAGCTCAGGGACAGCGTCCAGGCCCAGAGTTCAAGCCCCATGACCCAAAAAAAAAAAAAAAGTAAAGAAGTGCTGATTATGATTAGCCTCACTGGGCCAAGGCTAAGCACAGGCTTTAGGCCTCTGTTAGAACAGTACAGAGAGGTCTTTCCCCATATACATCCATATGTATCCAGAACATTCACAGTCTCTGTTGTTTTTCTGGTCCTGGGGTTTGAAATCAGGGCCTGGGTGTTGTCCCTCAGCTCTTCTGCTTAAGGCTCAGAAAAAGCTGGAAGTAGTGCTGTGGCCCAAATTATAGAGCCTGAAGCACAAAGAGGCTCCTGGATAGTTTCAGGCCCTGAGTTCAAGCCCAGGACTGGCAACAAATAAAACATATACATATATAATCCAATTGGTTTTTAAATATTATTTTTATAAAGGTGAGTACAGAGGGGTTACAGTTTCAAATTGATTTCTATAAAGATCCTGGAGCTTGACCTCAAAGCCTGGGTGTGGTCTCTAAACTTTTTTGCTTGAGACTAGCACTCTACCACTTGAACCACAGCTTTTTTTTGTGTGTGTGTGTGTAGTTTAGTGGAGAGAAGAGTCCCATGAACTTTCCTGCCTAGAATGGTTCTGAACGTCGATCCTCAGATCTCAGCCTTATGAGAAGCTAGGATTACAGGTATGAGCCACCAGCACCCGTCTGGCTCTCCACCCCCCCCAACTCAGTGTCTCTCATGCTTGGCTTACTCACAGTTGGCAGTCTTGGCCGAGTGCCCTTTGTTTCTGTGTGCCAGTACTAAGGCTTGAACTTGGACCTTGAGCTCTTGCTTAGCTTTTTCAGTCAATGTTGGAACTCTGCCACTTACATGAGCCATACTTTCACTTATTTGGAGATAAGAGTCACAGATTTGCCAGTTCAGACTGGCTTTAAACTTCAATCTTCAGATTGAATCTCCTTAAGCAACAGGCACGAGCCATCAGTGCCTGGCTGAGGAGATTATGTGTGTGTGTGTGTGTGTGTGTTGTGTTGTGTGTGTGTGTGTTGTGTGTGTGTGTGTGTGTGTGTACTGGTCCTGGGGCTTGAACTCAGGCCTGGGCGTTGACCCTGGGCTTTTTTTTTTTCTTTCTCAAGGCTAGTGCTCTACTACTTGATCTATAGCTCCACTTCCAACCTTTTTAGCAGTTTATTGGAAGTAACATTCTCATGACTTTCCTGTCCTAGCTGGCCTTGAACCTTGATCCTCAGATCTTAGCCGTCTGGGTAGCTGGCACCTGTCAAGGGGAGTTGTTTTCAACATTAGTATAGTCAGCCTCTTCAACACCTTTTGTGCACTGCTGTAAATGTGAGACTGGGAGGTAAGATTGGGGATGGGGAGAGAGACAATAAGGGGAAGGGAGGTGCTATCGAAGTTCACTATGTCTGTGGATGAAGATGGCATAATAAGACCCACTAAAAACTACTCAAAACTAAGAGATGGGGAAAATCATGAGTAACAGAAGCTGGGCACCAGTGGCTCACGCCTGTAATCCTAGCTACTCAGCAGGCTGAGATCTGGGGATTGTGGTTTGAAGCCAGCCCAGGCAGGAAATTCTGAGACTCCTATCTCCAATTAACCACTAGAAATCTGGAAGTGATGCTGTGGTTCAAAGTGGTAGTGCCCTTGCCTTGAGCAAAAGCAGCTCAGAGATAGTGCCCAGGCCCTGAGTTCAAGCTCCAAGACAGAAAGAAAAAAAAAGTAATAAAGATTAATCCTATCACGTATAATATATGCAAACATGGAAATACCACAGTGAAACTTCTTTGTATAATTTGTACACTAATTAAAAAATAACTTTTTTTCTTCAAGGCTTAGACTCTCAACAGTGAGAAATCAGATGGAATATTTGCATCCTTGTTTTTCCCTACTGACTTTGCTATTTGCTCTTATCTATCTGGAAATTATCTTAGTGGGAGGCAGCAAAGGGCTTTCTGTCGTCTTCCCTCAGGCTCTGCGTCCCCTACTGGCCTTTCCAAGGCTCACAGCTCATCGCCTCTCCCCTGTTTTCAGATCCATCTCCAAAGCCATCCATTTTACCCATGATAAAATAGGTGGAAGACTTCAGGCTTCATCTTGCTCTTGTGGCTTCATCTTCACCACATGCCCAAGGTGTGACCACACTAGGCTGCTTCTCAGTATGTGGGCAAACTATTTCACTCTCTTGTTTCACCCACAAATCTCTTCTCCATGATGGGCTTCCATCCTCAGGGGCTGCACTACACTCTGAGCAGTCTCTCTCGAGGCTTTGCTCCAAGGCTTTGACATACTGAAGCTACCAGAAGTTACTCAGCCCTCCTGGGTGACATTGAGTGACCTCAAATCAAGCTCTCTCTGGACTGTTATGCATCTACCACTTTGGAGAGTACCTGACTTTGCACAGTCCACCAAGAATTCTGCAAATTCTCCTATGCCTAAGTCCTGAAACAAACGCCCCTAATCATTGATCTCAATGTCATTCTAGATATTCAAGAGGCTAAGATCTGCAGGGTCTCAATTTTGAAGCCAGCCTGGACAGAAAAGACTTAAGAGATTCCATCTCCAACAGTGGCTCGCAAATGGGCTGGGAAGGTGGCTCAGTGGTAGAGCGCTGGCCTTGAGCTGGGGAGCTGAGGGACAGCGCGCAGGCCCAGAGTTCAGGCCCCATGAACGGACCCAAAAAGAAAAAAAAATGGCCCTCAAAAAGCTGGGCTAGAGATACGGGCCAAACCAGTGCAAGCCCGAGTTCAGAGCCAGGGGACCTCCGAGAAGAGGAGGGGCGCAGGGGGTGCCTGCTTCCGGGGGAGGGGCGCAGGGGGTGCCC